AAGTGTATGTATAATCTCCAGCGAACATGTAAAGCATATCTTGCTACTGGCTGTAAATTGTGATTGAATTATATGGTTCTATTTCTGTAACAATTTGATGATGCTTGTAAACTGGCGTCCCTCATGTACTGTACTATGAGAATAAATTTATTTATTTATTTATTTATAGATTGTTTTAACTTATGCAAAGTGCGCTTCCTGTCATTATTCCATCATCTTCCCTTGTATGTATAGCTTGTGTTAGTGAAAAAATTTTAAACATGTCAACTCCATGAGTGCATTATTATCATATTGATGATGCCTGTCAACTGGAGTCCCTCATGTGCATAAAGTGAGAATGTATTATTGTAAGATGCATTTTATTGTTATATGAGGGAAGTGACTTCAAGCTTTATCTATTTCCCCAAGTATCTGTAATCCATCCAAGCCATATTTGGTTTTTCTGTTAATGCGAATTCAATATCTCCATATTTCTTGATGTGGTCCATTGAATCACTAGTTGTCAAGTTTTTCCCACAAACTAAAGACAAAATGACAGCAGCCATGTAATTTAACCGTAATGCATGTAATTTATGTATGTAATTTAAATAATACTTATCCATGCCTATACAACTGGTGTGTCCTACATAGGTAGGAATAAATATGAACCCTATTATATTATCATTACTAACTATGCTAACTAATCGTGTGTGTAATTTATTGAATTGATGATGCCAGTAAACTGGCGTCCCTCATGTACAAAAATGAGAATATATTATGATTATTATTAATCTGTCTAAAACGCGAGTAGCAACTGAAGGTTGCGTTACATGTGGCAGACATAGTGGGAATAATGTTTTCAGCAATGTGGTGTATACCAGAACGGCAGAAATACTATTTTACCGAAAGAAAGCCTAGTGGCTACTCTCCAGACGAACCCAACAGTAGAATTGGGGGCTACAGAGATTCACATCTTGAAAGTCCCCAGGTTGTAACCATATCATTTGGCCATCAATCATGAAACAGTGCATCGAAGCTCTCTGTAAGCCCTAATGTGGCTTATTTCAACGCTCGATGGATTCCGCGAAACCGCCAAGAGAGTGGAAAAGGGACATTCTTTCTCCGATTTTCAAGAGTGGAGACAGGAAAAATGCCACCAGTTATAGACCAGTAGCGCTACTCCCAGTGTTATCAAAAGTACTGGATATTATTATTGATGATCACATCAGGGAGCACCTCGATAGGACTAATAGACTCCATGAAGCACATTATGCCTTCAGGAAAGGCAGATCCTGTGTAGCAAACCTACTGTAAGCTTGAGACGATCGGACATCATGCTGGGATATGAATAATCCAGTGCATGTGACTTCCTATAATTTGAGAAAGTATTTGACACAGTTCACCATGACATCCTACACAAAATGAGTCAGGCAGGTATAGGTGAGCCACTTCTGTCATGGCTGGAAGACTACCTAGTTGAAATGAAATTCTGCACCAAGGTCAATTGACTCCACTCATCCTGGCACAGCTCGTCACCAGGAGTGTCGCAGGGCTCTATCCCAGGGCCATTGGTATTTTTGATTTTTATCAATGACCTACCATCCTGTCTAAGCTGCCGAACTCTTCTATACGCTGACGTAGAAATTTAAGGAGCAATAAAGCTTTCGGAAGGCTCAGATGGGTTGCAGGCAGACCTTAAGCTTCTTGAAGATTGGGCGGTGGCCATTGGAATGACTTTCAACCTGAAAAAGTGCAAAGAAGTAAAATTACGCACCTGTAAGCTGCAGGATGCAAGCTACACCCAGTGCAACAGAAACCTGTCTTGCTCAACGTCGGAGCGTGACTTAGGTTTAATTCTAACGGAAAAATGGAAAAAAGCATGGATTACGCGGGGAATGTAGCGAGGACATATGCGGTCATCCAATTTACACATGGTTAGTTAGGTGCACTCACTCCTGGGCTCTTTCTAAGGTTGTACAAAACATAAGTCAGACCACACCTTGAAGTGCACAATATCATTACTCCCCCACTGATTAGAAGAGATGTGAACATTTCGGAAAGAGTCCAAAGACGAAGGGCGATGGTTCTCCGAAACGAACTATATGATGAACGGCTAAAAATTAAGTTTCTTCACACTTAGTTGCCATCAACTTAGGGGGGACTTAATATATATTTCACATAAATTAAGCATTTACATGATTGACATACCGTTTGTACAGCTATGATCATATTTGACAAGTGAAATTTGAAATGGGACACTGTTTTGTGACATTAAAAATTGGAAAGATGGAAAAACCTCTAGAAACTTTATAAAAGTAGATTACAATATGTTGGTTGAAGTCTAAATTATAATCTATAATATACTTAGAGTCAGTCAAATTCATTTGGGAATTACGAAATGTTGCGTTAATGGAAGGTAAGGAGAGAATAAAAATGACCAGAATCACCTAAACATAGTTGTTCTGTCATTAACTACTGATGAGCTTACCTGTGGAAATCCAAAAAAGGATAGCTCACCAGGGGTAAAAGACTGGAGTGGGTTCCCGTTCCTTTTCACTGCGAGTTTGTCGTCCCTGGTACTCTTTACTGGCAGACGTAGCTACGGCAACATACGTGGACAGCTTTAAACGAAGGCTGCATACAGGGACTGCGTCCGAACCCTTAAAATCTAGTACCTTATTAATGGGTAGACATCTAAACTCACCGTTTTACTTCACAATGTCTCTTGCCTTACCTTCCTGACTACTCCAACTGCTACACTTACATTATTATTATTATCATTATTGACACTATGTACATGCATATATACAGACCTAAAATTTCATTGGCCTACTGTTTTTACTTTTACTTTATTTCTTTTCCTGTCTTTTAGTCTGCATAACCCAGACTAGTTATGTGTTATTATTATCTCTTCTCTTGTAGACGACACAGGATGATTAACCGGTGTAAGGATGAACTCCATTAGCAACAGTAACACGGTCTTAACACACCTCATACTGCAGAGAGCATATAATTGATCCCAGCAGCACTCATTTCGGAGTCAGCCAAAGCCACGAAAGTCGAGTGGCTGAAAGAACTGCGCAGAGGTTTACCGAAGACCGGCAACCTTTACCCCACAACCAAGAAAGCAGCACAAAGAAATCAAATTAGCTTATACTAGCTCGTAAAAAGGAATTACATATTGAATGGTGTGGCCAGGACGTCAAAGCTATAATGCAGTGGGAACACACCTGTCACAGGATCATGACAGCTCAAGAATAAAAAGGTTTCAATTACAAAGCGCGACATATTTGAAGATAGCAAAGGTGAAGCGAAGAAACAGAACTTAAGTAGACGAATGCGGGTGCTGACGAAAAACTCGCCAGGAATATACAGACATCGAAGTTGTGGTAGGTTAATGAAACGGCACACCCGTAGAAGACTGTTTTCTTGAAGGAAAGAGAACTTGTCAAGTGTGGAGAGGCGTGAAGACGGAGGGGTGAAATACATAAGAGTTGAAGAGGCAATATAGGTCTCACAGGATTTAAACCTTAAAATAAGGTATAACTCATTTAAATCCCGAGGGATTAGAGACTCGGCATACTGGACCTAAGATAAAGAGGGCAGGAGATGTAATTTAACATCATCATCTAGGGCACAGGACATTGGTGGTCAAGTGAAATGCTTTCAAAATAGCAGCGATTCAAGTATAACATTTAGAAATAGAAGGAGGAACACTGTATGAGTTAGCATCACCGCCGAATAACACCAGAATTTGCCAAAAGTGGAATGAGAAGAAGGCTCCACAAACATCCAAGGTAGAGATAAAGAGGAAATGTGAGAAATTGTTCACTACAGAATACCATAGGTGGATAGGAGATAGGAAGATGCTGAAGCAGAATTTAAACCATAGCCGTAGTGACAGACGAAAGGAGAAGCTGAAAATTATATACCCCACACTGGTTAAGATAATGAAAAAACTACTGACGAAGAGAAAACGTTTTCACTACCCGCTTGCAATTGAAGCAGAATAGAGTATAGACAATAGAGACCTTAGATCGCTGTTTGAGATAACCAGATCGCTGTCCAGGAATGGGTCATTGCAGATAAATCCAGTGATATATGGTAGAGGAAACCAATCATACCGCCGAAGAGATGGGAGCGGAGATTCTCTGGGCTGATCACTTCGATGGAATGTTGAAGTGACCACCACTCCGGGCGGACATAAACAACACAGATATAAAGAACATACTCGACCCAACCAACAGAGAACATCAATCACCATCAGTGGGATAAATCTGACATGAGTCGTCTCTTTCACTTACCTCAGCAACATCGTCTGAACTACAGGCAAAATTAATGCAAAAGTCAGCCAAGATCAAGTTGTGAAGGTCATGTAAGCATTCATTAGTCTGAATCTGGCATGGAACAAGATCTGAACTTTCTGCAGTAACGTGAATTCAGTGCTTCCTAGTGATTCCCCACAAAAGTTATAGTCGCCAGGTTTTTTGACTTCCGACCGACAGCTGACTGCTTTTGCATTATTCTGGAGATCAGATGACCGACCAGAATGGATAAGTAATAAGGGACTCCAGAGGCAAATCAGTCAGTAGGTTACTGCCTTTGCAGAAGTAAATGGAGATGTGATGGACATACTTGACCACACGTTCAAGTAACATCGTATATCAGGCAGGTTTCTTAGTGTAACTCGGGTAATAAGCAAGGTGTCTGGCGTGGATAAGAGGATAGCATGAGAGACATCATGTGAAGTGGGCGGTTGCCCAACCAGCGGAAATCGGTGACAGAGAACTGAGTGCAATGGCGATGTGCTGCTGACGCCCTATGTCCCCCTGAGAGCTCAAGGATTGAATAATCATAAAATAAATATAATGGGAGCGAGAACAAGGGCTGGGGCTTGCCACTCAGGATAAGCAGTAAACAAGTCTATTCAATGGAGACGGGTTCAGACGCTTACCACTGGATATTGAATATTGAATTCGAAACATTGCGTTGGTGTGTAGCTTTATTTTTCCAGTTGTGTATCTATATATCCTGAAGTTATAATTTTAAATGATTGGCTCACAAAAATGCTTCCTTGCCACCAGCAGTGATTCCAGTGATTTTGTAGCCATCCGTTTTTACTATACGAAATTCAACACCAGTGACCTTCTGCTCTGAAGTCACACTTTTAAAATGCAGAAGCCGTTTCTGTCAGGTACTTAATTTTTTGTAGTAATGACTGCTCTCTAGAATATGTAGAACCTCCTGAAGGACTTCATAAACTTTTGGAAACAGACAGAGTTACTGTGAAGCAGATAAAACTGGCCCAAGGTAAGTTTATTTCTTTTATATTACATAATAGAGTAAATAACTGAGTAGATTACTTCATATGGTGATATTGTTTTGCATTATGTCAGAATATTTTACTGAGTACACAAGTAAGCATTTTCTGGGATCAACGGAGACTTTGTTCCGTTTGGCTGATCGTCAAAATCTTAATTAATACTATGGAATTTTAGTTCATACTTTTCACCTGTTTTCTGTGACTTTATACAATGCCGCAGTCTATTTCACGATATAAGATTAGTGCAAATACATTTGTTTTGGTTCCCTATGGCCAATAAACACTGTGGCCGAAAAAACCACGTGCATATACGAACTATATGTAGTTCGGATACATTCACTGGGTGGTCTTTGACTCGATGTTGTCACCATATTCAGTAGTTTCATTTATCTTGTGCCATCATTCATTTTAACTAGAAAAACGTCTAGGAATTTAATAGTATCATTTTCCTCGTGTTCTATTGTGAAATTGAGATATGGACGGCATGAGTTGAATTTTGTCAACCGAAATTTGATGAATCCATCATTAAATCATCCTGCTTTATTAACCGGCTTTATTGCTTGTTTTAAATTGGTATCGGGAAATAAATGTTTTCAATTCCTAGCTATCTCTAATACTACTAATCCGATATGAATAGGTTTCGTTCATGTCCGCTTTCTAGATCTCTCTGGTTTTGATGTGTGTGTTTTGATTGTGTAAATTCCTCATATCCTAACGATTTTCTAAGAAAGTGTTCTGTCTAACCTGCTACTGCATTAAGAAACTTAGACAATCTGGAATCACCCAACCACTACTTTCACAATTGGTCAACTCTTGTATCTTACCTATTCTACTGAAAAAGGGCTATACCATCCTGAGAAGGATGTTGAAGGTAGTCAGTAAGACTAGTGGTGTAAAACTCAGTCAGCTCGTCACTACTTTAGTTGATAGGCATCTGAATACATGCGAAAAATGGTCTAAAACCACACTCTTCGACCCCCAACACCCCATCTATTCCCAACTCTCGCCTTGTATCTCATCAAACAGAACCAGAAATCAGTATAAAATAATCTATGCTCGTACAACCAAGTACAGGAACTCAACGATGCCATACTTGGCCCGTGTTCTAAGCGACAGAGACAATGTTAAGCGTGAAACCTATAACTTGCTTTGTTATTAACAACATAATGTTAGGCTCTTTTATTTCTCTCTTATTTTGCATTTTATAGTGAACTCCTTCTTAAACATACTTAGCTACCTAAATTATTAACACTGGCTTACGTTTTGTACTTTATTGTATTCCTTCTATTGTGTATCCACTGGTTCTGACTCTATTAGCACTATGAGTATTACAAAATTGTCCTGTCATTAACCATCATGTAATTATTAGTTTTGTGGTTGTTTTTTGTTCGGCAATATTAGCTGACGATCATTGGTTGTGAACGCCATTATTATCACCACCTTAAAATTTTGTATTATTCAGGATTACTCACACTACCACTACAAACACTGCATTAGACCTGACAATAAAAAACAAAACAACAACCCTGAAATGTTATTTCATGATTGTTTAGTGTTGTTTCAATCAAATTAACTGACCACCTTGGCGATAAACATTCTTAAATATCATTTCATAACTTCTTGTATGACTATAGCTTTGCTGTCACCATGCATAATCATATCATAGGTTCCACTACCCAATACTGAGATATTATTATATGCTGTTTATTTTCCTTTCTACTTCTTGGTATTTTTTCGCATTCTTTTAAAATTCTTTTGTGTTTTTTGTGTTTGCTTTTTCTGTTGTTGTCTTTATATTTATTTTCCTTTTTTGAAAATACTCCTTTTAAAAGTTGGATAAAATTAGATGCAAATATTGTGGATATGTGTGTGCTGAAAATTCTACATTGTTCCACTAGTACTGTTTCTGGAATAAAGCAAATTATTATTATTATTCAACACATGATAACTGAGGTTTAATATTGTCTGTTGTAATTGACACTATCTTTATATTTATATATGTGGAAAGAACACTACTGAAATAAATCCTCTCTAAGCCTTGAATTTTGTCATTAAAAGCTTTGCCAGACTTTGCCAGTGAACATAATTATTCCTCTTGAAGTCATATGGCATTAAGGAAGACATGTTTTTCTAAGTTTATTGTAAAAAACTAAAAAACGTGAGGAGCAAATATTAAGTGTCTAAAGAAGGAGTTGGTAGAGCTATTTGTAGCTTTAATACTGCGTAATTCTCTCTAGAAACCATATGCTTACGTGGTTTGGTTTTGCTTCCTACATTTCTTATGAAACGACTGTAGGTAGAGTATTATTTGTTTTCGAACAAGTAAGCGTATGAAATTTCCGTGCTTTACTCTCTTCAAACTCGCTGAAGAGATTAATAAATGTTTTTTCATTTTTATTCGTTGTATTGTTTCTCTTGAAACCATTTCATCATTAGAATACTTCCCGGAAAGTGTTTTCGATAGCTTTATGTATTTTTATTCTTTGAGCCTTGCCAATATATACAACCGTCGAGAGTCTGCCATCTCTCTCTTAAATGACCATTAATCATTATTACTGCGACGTTCTATGAAGTTCTGGCAATATTTTTTAGCTGGCTTGATTATTTTGTTTGTCGCAGGTTTATCTAGTGATCATAATAGTCAGAGATGCAGACTCTTCTGAACACCTTGAGCAGCAATCTTCGTATGTTTGGCATGCGATTCGCCCCTGTAAAATGTAAGATGCTGCTACAGGACTGGACTACGTCAACCGCTAGCTTAGTGATAGGGAGTGAAGTGATAGAACATATTGACCACTTCACCTATTTGGGAATTGGTATCAGCACCAACGGATTGATTGGTGACGAAATCTCAGCACGGATCCAAACAGCTCGGGCTGCTTTCGTTAACTTAAGCCATCTCTGGCGTAGGCATGACATCCGGCTATCAACCAAAGGACGTGTGTACACCTCACCAGTTCGCTCCGTCCTTCTCTATGGCTCCGAAATATGGCCAATACGAGTTGAAGACATGAAAAGGTTGACTGATTTGATCATAGATGTTTACGATCTCTTTCTCACATTAGGTGGCATAATAAGGTAAGTAATGTTGACGTTAGGTTAGGCGTAGTGTTGGGCAAAGAGGGAAAATCAATCGAAGAGGCTATAAAGTTACATAGATTAAGATGGCTAGGTAATCAATCCATGAAATGCTTGACAGTTAAACTGAGTCAGGTAGTGAGGGAGATGCAGACTTCCGGGTTGGGGCCCGCCCTCGGGACTCTAAGAATCAATGGCTGGAGACATACAATAGGTGACATGGCTCAAACTCATCGTTGTCAATGGCTTACGCAGATGCATTCAGTCTCTTGTGTAATCTTTCATATTCCTTTCTACCATTACTCATTCTGTTTCACTCTTATACTTGTCTAAATTCTATTGATTCTCTTCACTCATCCACCTTCTTGTCTACCTTTGTGTGGTATTTGGAACGTGGCAACTGGAACTGCTGCACTTCGGTGCCAAGTTCTATGTTGAATCCAGCCAGCCAGAAGTCAGAGATAATGATGTTTATTAATGTCACATTTTGTGTCATTTGCAATATTTCTCTATGATAATTCGACCTATTTTCTCATATTTTATCAGTGAAGCATTTTTTCTATGTGGGAAGCTGATTTAAGCAGTTCAAACTGGTAGTTTTTTCTTTCAGGTAGTTAAGAGTAAAGGAAAGCAAGTTATTTACTGTGTGTTACTATTTCAAATGTGAAATCACAGTAGTCAAGGGTCAGTTGTTGCCATAAAAATTAATCCTGCCTTGTTTTATTCCACACACAAAGGTTATTTCCAATGCGACTAAGTAATTTAGTGGGCTTCAGCTGCACGTCTCGATTGCGTTCGGTTCTCTGCTAAAGTTCCCGCCTGAGTTTAAGTCTGCCCACATGCTTTCATCTCCTCTTCACATCCCCTCCTCCAAGTCACCCACCCTCACACTGACGACCAACTCGCCGCTTCCCTTTCGGATTCCACTCGAGAAATGGCCTGTCGTGTGATGCCACTTGATGGTCTCCTCAGAGTATGGCCAATCCATCTCCACTTTCTCCTGCATATTTGTTGGGCGATTGGTTCTTGTTTTGTTTGTTTCCCATAGTTTCTTGTTGGTTCTTGTTCTTTCCGGCCATCTGATTTTGAGTATAGAGCGAAGACAGTTTTTGTTGATAAAGGTCTGCAACAGGCTGTTGGAAATATTCTTTGTCACACACTGGCCAACTTTCTGATCCGTATAGAAGAACTGACTGACTTGATGTTTGTATTGAAAATCCGAATTTCGTTGTTGAGTGTTGCTGAGTGACGAAGATTTCCAGATTGGTTTCAGGTTGATGAATGTGTTTCTCGCCTTCCCGATTCTCGATTTGACATCTTCGTCCGTTCCTCCTCCTGTAGTTGAGACAATGCTCCCTAGCTAGATAAGTGAATGAAGTAACCTCTTTCAAATCCCTCCCGTTGATGGTGATTGGCGCTGGATGTTGCTGCTGTTGTTGTTGTTGTTGGTTGGTTATTTTCATAACCTCCATCTTGTCTATGTTCACCTGTGAGTCCTGTCTTTGCTGCTTCTTCGACCAGTTTGTCGGTTTTCGCTTGTAAGTCTTCGATTTTGTGTGACATCAAACATAAGTCATCCACGCGTGAAATCCAGGTCTTCTAGGTTCTTCACGTCGGTCCAGGATATCCCTGTCTTCTCGTTTCCCACTGTCTGACGACGCATAGTCCAGTCCACCACAATTAGGAATATCATTGGTGATAATAAGCACCCTTGTCTGACTCCTGTGTTTACTCCAAACGCCTCACTGAGCTTTCCGTTGTGAATCACTTGACATGTGCCGTTGTCGTACAGCTGTTGAATAAGGTTGATGAATATTTGGGGTACGCCGTAGTACTCGAGTAGTTTCCAAATTACTTCGCGGTCAACGCTGCGCTGTCGAAGGCCTTCTCAAAGTCTATGAAGTAAGTTGAGGTAGAGGTTTGATTGCCATTCCATGCTTTGTTCTGTGATGATGATGCATAGAGTTGCAATTTGGTCAGAACATGATTTGCCTTTCCTGAATCCAGCTTGTTCTGGTTAGCGGAGTTCTGTATCCAGTGCGTCCTTGATTCTCTCCAGGATGATGTGACTCAGGATTTTACTTGGCGTCGACAGGAGCATGATTCCTCGCCAGTTCTTGCAGAGTGAGGCCTAAGTCGCCCTTCTTTGGTAGTTTCACGAGGTAACCTTTCCTCCAGTCAGTAGGCACCTTTCCCTCCTTCCAAACCTTCTGCAATAATGGAGTCAGCATATCTGTTGTCGTCTCTGGGTCCGCTTTCAGTGCTTCCGGAGGTATTCCATCTGGTCCAGCTGCTTTTCCAGCTTTCAGAAGCTTGATTGCATTCAAGACTTCAGCTTTCGTTGGAGGATCGGTGTCAACTTGGAGTTCGAGTCCTGGTTGGCGGCAAAACAGAGATGTCGTTTTCAGTGGTTCTCTAACTCAAGTCAATCCGTAATCAATCCGTGATCAAACAAATCAAAAATCCCTACACAAACTAACTTTTATTCAAAAGTGCATTTTCATTCAAATGAACTGTCGCGTAGTTTCTTTGTTAATTTAATTCGATTGCAAAATAATTCAAATGAACTGTCTGTCGTCAAGATCTGACAGAATAGTTATAAAATATTTGGGCGCCGAGTGAGAAGTAGACATTTGTAAAAAACGTTGGAATTACTCATTTCAATCTCGCTGAGATTTTACAAATATAATTTTTTACAAATGTCTACTTCTCACTCGGCGCCCAAATATTTTAGAACTATTCTGTCAGATCTTGACGACAGACAGTTCATTTGAATTATTTTGCAATCGAATTAAATTAACAAAGAAACTACGTGTAATTGGCACAATCATCGTGTTTTCACTCTCCGTTGTCTGCAACAGAATGCATATCCTAAATCCGTAGCTGTCGAGTCACCTGACAACTCCAGTAGGTCGAATAAAGCAGCTCAATCTTCAGAAAGAAGAAGACAAAGCAATAAGTTCGACAGGGTGCTCTTCAACTAAACTCTAATCCTAAACAACACCATAATTTTGAAAATATACGTCTAATCATAAAATTCTAGATACTAACAGTTTGAACAGACATGAAGGTGTGATGTGGTGTTAGCTGATGCATAGGAAATCCTTATTAATAAGTAAAAAATGGATATGTATCACTAATTAATTAATAATACTTGGTCAAAATTCTCGACTGTCCATATCTTCTTATGGAGACGTTAAGAAATGTTTTACAACTGTTTACCCACACACACACAATACACACTCTGTTTAAAGTGTTTAACAAAGGTAGACCAATATTTGTAAGAGGTCCAAGGTCAAATTTTGATCACAGCTCATACAATTTTGTTTATTATACTTGTTGATACTTTTTGAATGACTCATGATTGGACAAAGTTTTTAAAATCAAGTGATGTTCCTTTTATATATAAACCTTTGTTATGTTAATTTCGATTAATTTCCCTGAAGAAGTTCGGACCAGATTGCCGAACAAGGAAACGTTGGAATTACTCATTTCAATCTCGCTGAGATTTTACAAATATAATTTTTTACAAATGCATTGTCACCTTTTAAAATTTCGTTTATTTCTCTATTTTATTTATTTATTTATTATTTAGATGCAAAAAAATATGATGCTGTGATGTATGAAGCTGTACTGGATACTGCTGAATTACTGTTGAGATTTGTAGAGAAATCCAGTTTTGTACAACGTTTTTGGTGTGGTTCCCATAGAGCTTTCGATATGGAAGTACGCAATGTGAACGGGAAACTTGTTATGCATCTTCAAAGACCAATGAGATGCCCGTCTGTAATTTGCTTCTGTTGTCCTTATGTAAGTGTTTTTTTTTAGATAAAAAAAGATTTTGTCAATATTAACATGTTACCATTCTAATTGGTGGATAGTGGTGACTAGCAGTGACAGAATCCAGTCAAGGATAACGCGCATTTCACCGGTCCTGTTTGGGACCGCTTTTCTTGTTTGGTAAGTACCATCAGCCAGTGCCAACGGGTTGATCTCTGACGAAATCTCAGTACGGATACAAAGGGCTAGTTTTGCATATGCCCTCCAGTTTACGCCGTCTCTGGCTTAGTAGACGTGATATCCGACTATCGACCAAAGGGCGTGTGTACTGCTCAGCAGTCCGCTCCGTCCTCCTTTATGGCTGTGAGACCTGGCCATTGAGAGTGGAAGACATGAAAAGGCTAGACAGCTGTCTTTGATCATAGGTGTCTGCGTTCTATCTCCCGCGTGAAGTGGTATAATAAGGTGAGCAATATTGAGGTTAGGCATCCGTCGAGTGCTAGGTAAGGAGGAGGGGAAATCAATCGACGAGGCTGTGAAGCAATTACATCGACTGAGATGGTTATGACATGTATTACGTATGCCTAGTCATCGCCTTCCTCGACAATGGGCAATGTTAGCTGACATTGGATTGGTCAGGCTGGAAAAGAGCTAGCGGCGGTCAAACCGAAACATGACACCAAACAATGTAATCTACAACAGTTGGTTTAAGTCACGTAAGAAAGTGTAGACTCGGACGGTTAAAACAAATGAAGGCTGAAAACAATTGGTGATATGGTTCAAAATCATCGTTCTCAATGGTTGGCTGGCGCACATGCATCCACTCCTTGTGACTTATGATTTCCAATGAAACTGTTTTGTTCTTCGTTATTACTATTCCTTTGTCTCACCACACCTCTGTTTACTGTCTCTCTATTATGCATTTCTCCTACTTTCTTCTCTTGCTTTGTGTGCTACATGGATGGAGTGTGGCGACTTGAACTGCCGCACATCGGTGCAAAGTTCTATGTCGAAAACCAACCGACCGACCTGTTTGGAACTCGTCCGCCAGCTAGTGGATGTACCTGCATTCCCCGGTGAATCAGTGATGATGTTCCCCGCACCGAGGCTCGAACCCAATCGACGGGAAAATCTCAAATTCACAGGAACAAGGGGGTGGCTCTCGTGGCCCAAGTGGTCTAGTAGATAACGCTTTGGCTACTGTTGTTTGAAACTATGGCCACTGGGTTCGAGCCTCGGAGTGGGGAACATCATCACTGACTCACTGACTGGAGAATGCAGGTACATCCACTAGCTGGCGGACGAGTCCCGAACAGGATAGGTGAAATGCGCGTTATCGTGGACTGGATTCCGTCACTGCTAGTCACCATCCACCATTTAACTTCTAATTAAATGCCCAGACACCTTCTCGAAGTATCTGCACAAGAAGCCAACAGACATGTCAACCTGAGACCGAGTACTTCGGTCCAATCAATCAGTCGATGGGAAAATCTAAAATTCAATTAAAATAAAGACACGACCTAGAATTACTTCCATGCAGGTTTCAATGTTAGGTCTACTATGTGTGGATCTGATGGTGTCCTGTATCAGACAGATGCTAAGCTATCCCGGGGGGGGGGTGACTGTTAAATGACGCTTAACCTCTGAGACACAGACTCATAAGAACATCTATACGAAACACAATATAATTGAGCAAAGAATATCCTTCTTCGATAAATTCCTCCTCTTCTCGCTCTACAATTATATCTATATATGCACGTGTTTATATACATAGAATATTCTAGATTAGTAGTCAATAACAATATTAGTGTCATTTAAAAACTTATCTGACAAGTAAATATATGTGAGGGTGTGTGTGTATTCAGATTGTTTTCTAAGTATATCCTCTATAGTACAGCGCATCGTTTCAACTACAGACGGAACTGACGAGGATATCAAAGCAAGGATCGGGAAAGCAAGGCAAACTTTCACTACTCTCAAGTCTGTGTAGAGGTCAACAGCACTCAGCATCAAAAATAAGATCCGGATTTTCAACTCCAATGTGAAGTCATTGCTACTATACGGATCAGAGACTTGACACGTCGCAAAGTGCATCTCAAACAAACTACAGACCTTCATTAATAGCTGTCTTCGCTCAGTACTTGAGATCAGATGGCCAGCCAGAAAACATCAGCGTCAGGGATCTCTGGCAATGAGCGAAGCAGCCAACACAGCAGGAACCGATTGTTCAACAAATAAGCAGGAAGAAATGGAGATGGATTGGATTGTGGCCATACTCTGAGAAAACAAACCATCAAGTGAGTAACATCACTAGACAAGCCATTGCTCGAGGGGAATCCAAAAGGGAAGTGGCGAGTTGTTCGTCAGTGCGAGGGTGACTTGGAGGAGGTCATGTGAAAAAGAGATGAAAATGTGTGGGCAGACTTGGAGCCAGGTGAAAAGTTTAGTAGAGAACTGAACGCAATGGAGACGTGCAGCTAAAGAAGCCATATGTTCCTCTAGGAATTAAAAGAAACAGTAATACTAATAATACCTGAAGGTCATTCCCTTGTTCAGAAAATAACGAAAAAGCAAATCAACAAACCCACTAGTCTTATTCAAGGAATAGTACTGTTTAAATTCCAATAAACAGTGGGGGGGGGGTGAAACACATGCCAGATAAGATATCAAGATATCTCTACTCAAAATGTTCAGAAGACTCTGCATCTCGTCAACAATTTAAACTGAAAAAAAACTGTGTCATCAGCACACTCGAAATCAACGACTCTCTCTCCACTGACACCAAATCCATCCTTAAGTCTCTTGAATTTCGAATAATATCACATTCGTTAGCAGATCACAGATGAAACTAAATAGAAATGGAGATGATGCTGGCTATTCCGGATGAACGCTTATTCTGGTTGCCATCACTCTGAATACAAAACTCTTGTTAAGCGATGCGCTTACACGGTTGCTTGGAGTTCACAATTAGAAGTTACTTGAGTGAGAAGTTCTGCAGACATGGGCAAATTATGAGAATGTGTACCACAAGACATCAGACGACAAACTTCATGTATGATACCTTTACACTTAGTTTAACCGCTCCTGTGGAGTGAGCCAATTACTTGCATAGGCTGTACAATTAGGCGTGTTTCTCGTCGAATTTCCGAACATCACACTGCACAGTGGTTGGTTAAGTAAAGGACAAATAAAATCCATCTACTCGAAGCGCTATTCTATCTCACTCTTGTTGTGGATACACAACACAAGACTGATTGATGTTAACAAGGCGGCTTTCAGAGTCATTTACCACATACCAATAAATCTCAATTTCGCCTTTACAGTTCGACTACTAAATGATGCTGAGACTGGCTGGCTGGCCGTTGGGATCCAGATTAACAAGCCTAATCTGTGCATCCAAAAGAGGAAATTAGTTCAGACATTATCCTTACCCGCTTGGCCATCTAGGTTTGAATGATCGATCCTGAATTTTTTTGGAATTTTCCTAATTTTAGTTGATATTCTATTTGCTACTATATCTTTATTATTATTATTATAATTATAATTTAAACATCTTTAATGAACTGTAATTGACTTCTAATCTAGAATATTCTATGTATATAAACATGCATATATGTATATAACTGTAGAGCCAGAGGAGGAGGAATTTATCGAAAAGGATATTCTTTGCTGGCTCAATCATTATTTTGTGTTTTATAGATGTCTGAATGAATATTTTTGTCATAAGAACATGTTGAACAATCCTTGTATACAGCCATCTCTATGTGTTCGTCCTACCTATTTGATGCCGCATGTATGTACACATGTGAATTCATAAACACAGTTGGGGTTTCAAAACAGCGGGAAATTAGTCTGGACTAGTCCACTTTGAACTGTATGTAGTCAGAATGTGATAACTTTAGCGGTCGGATATGTCCTCGATGATGTTGCATTTTATTATTATTTGCTTGGCAATTTGTTTCTCCAATTTCGTCCGCTTTTTTAAATCCTAGTTTAATATAAGCACTAGTTTCTTCTCGATAATACTGTAGGCTACCACCTCCCGCATGTCATGCTCACAGTACTTCTCTATAAATCGTTTGGCATTATATCCATTATTCCTCAAACATGCTATGGTGAGATTGACTTCATTTTTTCTAATATTTCTTCAGAGGAAAGCTTTTCTGCTCACTCTCTCTTTCTGGTGTAGTGTAGGGGTTTAACCGAACCTGTCTTGTGGCTAACGGTGTAACAACAGAAGGCAAGACACAGAAGCCAAGGTATATTTTCCATTCATGAGAACCACTGTTTATATATTCATATATATATCTACAGTTTATATTCATTAACCAATCACTGAGCCAGCGTGTGATTTCGGTTTACATTAAACGATAAGAAATAGGACATTTTGATGTGGTTGTGTTCTCTGAGCTGGCTAAATGGTTAATTTGCGAAGCTTTCATCGCCCCACTACTAGGCGACATCTTCTGTGCATACTGCAGTTTCAAGTGAAATGAGCTTTTAGATTTCCCCACAAAATTATCAGTCATCTCTCCTGGTCGGTGACCACCTTGGACGTGATGGGTTACTTTTGTGTGTTTTCACACCTTCTAGGTTGTTTTTATTGTAATTCATTGTTTCTTTGACTTGAACTCTGACCCTTTGTGTGTCTGTGTGTGAGGTTTCTTTCTTATCGGTTGATAAATTTTGTATATCTCGATGTGTCTATTGATTGATGATTCACTGGAATACCAGGCAAGCTTCTAAAAATTCTCTAGCATTCTCGGTGTTGTTTCCTCTGTCTAATATTTCAAATCTGGTTGTTCCAGTCGAATTGATGTCCGTAGTTGTCTGTATGTAGTGATATAAGGGAGTGGATGTCATGTCTTTTGACAGCTAGCTTATGTTCGTGGATACGAAGACGAAGGGGACGTGAATCATCAACCAATAGACGCATCGAGATAGACAAAATATACCAACCGATAAGAAGGAAACCTCACAAACACAAAGGGTCAAAGTTCAAGTCAAAGAAACAATCAATTCCAATATCG